TTTTTTTTTTTCAGTCTCCAGACATCATAACCAGCCATAATCCTCTAAGCGACATCACAAACCCCAACCGGGCTCTTTCTTTTCTCCTTTTCTGCTCCTCCCTCCATTTCCACGTCCATCACTCATCTCTCCAGTGTCCGGCCATTTGGCCAAGTCCTTGTAAAACTGACAAGCGGGGGATGCGGCGCCCCCTACAGTTTGTTTGGACACCTAGCAGCAGTCCTATGCTGATAGAGAAGGCTGAAAACTCCCGAAACCCCCCACCCCCCAAATGTCTGGTGACAGGTGATGGCAGGTGATGATCACATTAGAGAGAGGGATCATGTGACTGTCCCGGGAAGAAGGCCCCCCCCCCCAGTTGCAGTCTGCCATGTCTGCAGCCAAACACACCAACTCACCCATTCAAAGGTGGTTTGGGGAAAATGTGAGTTTTTCTTTTCTGAATAGCTCTTATTTTTCTGTCTTTAAACCTCTAGTAAACACTTTGATGCATCAACTGTAAGCCTCTGAAACTGATCCAAATCTCCCTGAAGATAAACAAAAAAAAAAAAAAAAGGTACAGCTTTGCTTTTTCATTTTCATGTTTCCAACAAATGTGGATTTTAGAGGAAGAAACTGAAGAACTGAAACACAGAGGACAATGTGAAATCCACCTTCAATCTGCTGGAACATCAACCAACAAGCTGAAGGGTTATTACGGAAAAGGACCAAAAGTTAAAAAAGAAACAAACAGGTGTCCAAAACAGTTTCATCTAAATATTGTCAGGCCTCGTCCAAAACTTTTGAATTCCTCAAATGCATTTAACCTTGTTTTACTCATGTGACTGCAGTTTGACTCATCACTCGGGAGCAAAAATGTTGCAGTATGTCAACGGAAAATGGGGCATTTCACTAAACAGCTGGATATACATGTATTAAGACTCAAGATTTTTTTTTTTTTTTTACAGAATTTTAGGAACTACTTCTTCAATCCGAACCCCAAAATCAAATCATTTCTATGAATTTTTTAGACTTTGCAGACATAGTGTTTATAGAAAACCTGGAGGCTGAAGATTTAACAGTTAGTTCGAGTCAAATGCTACTATGTCATCTTGGCAAAAACCTTACTAAAAGAAAAAAAAAGAACAAATTAACTGATTTCAACATGAAATACTATAAGCTTAACAGATTGTGTTTTTGCGCTCAATACCTGTTGACGCCCTGATGTCAACTTTCCCTTTTGTGTTGTGAATTATGTTCCCGTTTCTGAAATCCACAGATGTTTTTACCAGCCTGACACAAACCTCCATCCACCTCCATCATAACAACAACGCTAGAAACACTGCAAATTGAAATTAAAAAGCATTAAAAGATAATCATGAGACCATTAAAAAAAAACTTAAAGAGTACATACATGTGTAAGGCAAATATATAATCTGTTCTATAAACAAAAACAAGTAGCAGGGAGCTGTAATCATTTCTCTTCATCTGTCAAATTCACATTTACATTAGTGGAAGAAAAAAGAATCACTCTTCTATCTGATATCATCAGTACTCGAGTTGGATAAAGATTGAATCATCCACAGTTGACTGTAGGAAGTGTGATAACTGAACAGAACAGTGTGTGAACGAGCAATCCAGTCTTGAATTTTTCTCCACAGCAAGGCAAGACATCGAGCTGTGTGCGTGCGTGTGTAGATAGTATTCAGCTTGCTCACGCTGCTACATCTGTACCTGTGTCAGTGTTCATGCCTGTAACTGGTGTGGGTGTGGGTGTGTGTGTG